AACACGGTCTAGTACGGTAATGGAGACTGTGCCATGCATGGCTTGTATTTTATGTTATATAGCGCCCTCTAGTGGCAAATTCTAAATTACTCATCTACAGTTTTACAGTCTTGTATTACATGTATATCAATGGAAACTGACATTTTGTTCTTTTTATTGCTTTAATTAACATTTCATTGGTAGATGGAAGTTTTGGCAACCATTTGCCACCCAGAAGTTTTGGACACATACATTATAAATTTTATCAATTATATTTATTTACTAACAACTATGTTGCAAGCATATTTCTAATTATTTACTTGAATTGCACCAGTTAATCACCACCATTAGTAAATAAATATGAATACACCATACTTGAACATTTTTACAATTAAAACACCATTATAATTATACATGTGACATGTATTATAAACGAACATTTTAACAATTATAATTTAAATAATTAAATTAACGAGATCATTGCCTCTGATGTTCATCTGTAATTAAAGAATGACATGTTTTCCAGGTTCAATTCACACATCCACAGATTTCTTTCATTTAGCCATAACCTTGACACTTTTTAAACAATAATAATAATCATCCCATCCCTTCTGCATGTGACAAACCTTTAGCAATTCTTCACCTGTTTCAATACATTTTGTACATATATATACTTTGTACTGCTATATTGGGAAAGAGATTTTCAACATAATTAGCAGTTAGGCAGAAGTGGTCAATAACTTTAAAATTATTTCTTGTAAACCAGAGGCGATAAATAGCAAGTAAATTGTAACTCTGAAACATAAATGCCTGTACAAACATGTATGCCCAACACCTCTACATATGTGCACTACCGGTACTACTTGCATACATACATACATACATACATACATACATACATACATATACCGTATATGTGTTTGTTGATTTTTGTTGTTGTTGAGGGTCTTTATTTTAATTTTCTAACATTTTTCTAACATGTTTAATTTACAGCTGATATTTCACAATCAGAATAGAGATTTATTGGTCTCCTTTGCAATGCCATTTTACTATATGAAAGAAGTTGATATAAAGCAACCAGTATTCGGTGCCAACTATATCAAGGGTAGAATCAAGGCTCAGCCTGGAGGTAAGTGTCCTTTTTATTTGTATACCGTAAAATTCCTAATTGAGGCCGCGGCTTTAATTAAAATTCCTTTTTTCAATGGACGAATTCAGATGCGTGAAGTCTTGGTGCGGCTTTAATTAGAGCATTCACTTCGGTAACATTGGGAAATTTTTTCAAAAAACAAAGGGCAGACGGGATAATGATATGCTAATGAGATGCACAACACTCGATTGCAACTTTGTTGCGATTTTTACACAGACAAACTTGTACGCAAACGAAATTTCACACTGTATAACATACTGCACAATAAATAATATCTGCAAATAGATTTGTATGCATTTGCAGATTACGGTACTGTATACTACAATCTCTTGAATATTCGTTAGCACCACAGTCAGCTGGCGCACATCTGATATAATAAAATAAATGCGATATTTACTATATGGGGGCCGCCATCTTGAATGACGCATAAAACTAAATAAGAGACAAGTTGTGAAACGCGTTTTTCAGATTCCTACAAATCAGGACAAAAATACCAATCTTTCACAAAAAATACGGTCCGTTGGAGTTATATTAAGCCAACCGATAACAAAATTCGACCGAATTCGTCGTTTTTGTGTGGAAAAATCCCTTGCATACGAACACCTAATTACGCGAAGAACCTAGGACACTATTTGAAACCGAAATTGTCATCTAAGCGTTAGGCCGTCGCTGATTGGCTGCTGTGCTGGAATGCCAATTTTAGTAATTTAGTGATTTAAATTTTGTAATTTAGTAGCTTCTAGAATTTTGACTGATCAAAGAATTGTGTAGTATTTTGTTTTCCAAACAATGGCTTGACTCTAATTTAGGCTAAAATTAATGAAACCAAAAATGATAAACAAACAATACCTGGTGTTATGAATCTGGGAGGATCTCACAAATGATCATCTACTGCCATAGACTTGCATACATACAAAAATAAATGACTTCTCTGAGGTTCTAACAGCATTGCTTATTCAGTCATAATTTGATACAAAAAATGTTATATCTTTGGTTTGATATGAAGTACATATAAACTTCAAGTTTGTATTATTAGGAATGAATGTTTGAAGGATTCAGTCAAGAATGTCATTAGCCAATCAGAATACCGTGTGATACTGCAGACAATTTCTGAATAATTGTGATTGCACAATGCATTGCATTGAAGTGAAATTCATTATTGAAGTTGAAGTATGATCTCTTGGTGATGATTTTGTTGATTTGCACAATTTTGTGGTAACTATAGCAGTAGTATCACAGAGTTCATGAATGATCTGCAAACAGAGTGGGAGAAACAAATTCTATGCATTGCCAATGTAGGATTGGACAATTAGAAATTATCGATATACTGCAAAAACATTCAAATTTACCATATTTCAAACAGTTATTACAAAATATATTTTGTAGTCTGCAAAAAGCCATCATTTTGGCCGCCTAAGGAGATTGTCAGTCGGTGACGTCATAGTTTCAAATTGCATGCAAGGACCAATCAAATTACCGATAAAGTGTGTGATATTGATATCACATATGTTTTGCATGATACATGTGATGAGTGCACATGTCTGCTTAAACAAGACATTTTATCGTTGTTAACATGGTGTTTGGACCTTATAGTGTACATGCATGCGTCCATCTGATCAGGTTCAAAATAGCCGACTGGTGCCAATTTTGTTTCAAAGAATACAGTTTCTGATCCATATGTTCAGCATGCCTGGACCGATCAAGTTCAAATTTACACATACATCAGATCTCATGCATTTTTTTACCATCAAATCCAAAATGGCTGACTGGTGATCATTATGTTCCACAAAGCCATATCTCATACATGCCTGGACCAATCAAGTTTAAACTTCACACATACATCACACATCAGGTCATGTATATGTCATTGACAGTGTTGTTTTCATTCAAGGTGGATGGGAAGGAGCGGCTTTTTTCAAACTGACATTTAAAACTGGAGGTGCAATAGAATTAGGAGAGCGGTTAATGAAAGTAGCCAGCAAAAGTAAGTAGTTAATTTCTTGTGCTGTCAGTGGCTGTAGCAGTTTTCTTATTTAGAAAAATTAGGCCATAAAAGTCAAAACAATGTAAATTCTATATTCCATATGAGACTATATTATGTATCAGTTAATGTTGTAAGATCAAACATCACTGATCTACTATCTATAACTTATTACATGCTTTATATTGAAAAGTGTGCAGTATATTATTAACACTAACGAACATTGCCACAAGATGCTTTTGAGAATGTGTGCAGTGTTTGAAAAATGCATTAGCTACATCTGGCATTGTGTTATTAATAATTAAAAGTTGAACTACGCATGACGTGTTGCTAGGTAATTTAGTGTTTGAATGCATGAACACAGTCTTTAGTTTGATTAAACACAGTTTAACCTGCCATGTATTGGGTGTTCTTTCTGTGAACATGTATTTGTATTTCTTTTTAAATTTAGATGGTAATGTTCCGCCGGGACCAAGAATACCAGCAGCAGCAGCAAATTACCCTCCCCCAGGTGCTTATCCTCCACCCCCTATGATGATGAATGGAGGAGCACCACAACCAGCAGCATATGGGTTTGATTACAGCTATGCTTCAGCACCTCCATATCCCATGCAAGGTATGCTGTCTTTTTCTTTCTGTACAATCAGTTATCAATATTCAATGCAAAGGTTACGAGACTTACATACAGTCTCTTGTTTGTTTTTTCGTGTTTTTTCAATAAAATAAATTATATGAGTTTATAAATGCTGAAAACTGGGTTACCGTGAAGACAGCGAAACAAAAAACAGACTAGTGTCCCGTACAATTAATATTCATGCACATTTCAATGACATCACAAATAGACATAATTTTCAATATTACATACAAGTTTACATTTTTTCATAAACATCACTGATGTAGACAGCTTTCAGACCATGTCCCATTATTTTCAGTACTTGCTCTTTCATAAAGCTTCCTGTGGAGATACAATGATAACTATGGTCCAGGGATGTTCATTGAAATTTCTGTAACATTGGTAGTCCAGGCAGAAATCATGAAATCCAAGCGTGCACGGATTTTAATTAACTTGTTGAGATGAATGTTCATGAAAATTTTGACATTAACGCTGATTGGTGGAACATTATTGAGCCTTTCAATCATTGCATCATGCACTGAACTAAGACCTGTGACAGTCATCACCGGGGTCACAAGAGGGTGTCTACAAGGGTTACAAGTTGTGGTATCCCAACTTTTGTCAAGTATACACTCGCATAATGTTATTTAATTTAATTTAAAAAAACACCAAAAAACAAACAAGAGACTGTGTGCAAGTCTATGTAGATACTAATTTG